ATGCACATTTTAGGTATGTGTGGACTGAAAACGTCACTGCTCGTGTATAATGAGTTCAGCAAGTATTGGAGGGTGGGGTTTTGGAGGATCAAGTGGGGAGGACAAAGTGGGATATTACAGCAGCCAAAAAACGGAAACAACAGGAGCTGTCAATGATGGACCCTCGAGGTGCGACCTGATTGAGTGAACATTGTCAACGGACGTGCCTCTTGTACCGCTCATGTGGCTTAAAGGCAGCGATTACGATAAAGAGGGAGCGCATCCGGAAGCATATGCACCACACGAATCAGTTACTTGGCTGCCAGGGAAGCGAGGTGTAGCGCTTTCACGACGAAAGGTGCGCTGGTTGCTGAGCTGAGCAGGACTTCGAAAGCGATCCGCCCACTAGTTTAGTTGGTGATTTGGACGAGCTGCGTTGCCAGCAGCGGCACAACTGGAGCAACTCGATTGTGGTTTGGCATGGTGCCACCAAACGCGTTGCGTGAACTCGTTCATACGTCCGCTTTCTGAGCTGTTACCTGTTCATGAGTGAAAACCAACGGCCAAAAAGGGGGTCCCGTTTTGCGTTTTCTTGACGGATTTCTCCGCTTTTTTCGCCACTGGCGTACCATTGAGCACCACCACGTCTCCTCTGAACCCTTCTTGAACTATCGTAATCGCTGCCTTTAACCCGCTCAAAGCAAATATGACTTGGGTCTAGCTGAAATGATGCGGGACTTCTTCGGAATTTCAGAGAAGGGAATACAGCATTGTATTCCATTGCTAGCCCGCCTGAATTCGTCAACGGCTACCCTGAGGAGAAACCGTCAGTGAATATGACAAGTGACAGATAGATAGGTTCTCCACGGGGTGCATCTCATTCATTGTCTTAGCCCCGCCAACACTATGATAAGTCGTTGATATCGATAAAGAAAGGCTACTGCTATCTGTCACTAAGGGGACAGCGCAGCTGCCCATGTATAACCTTGACTGTGAATCGCCCACATCTTATTTCAAGGGCCTAGAATTTGCGATCAAAACGTTTTCCAAATTGCTATCAGTGAACCGGAGAATCCACTTGGAAACCCTGTTTAAACTTTGCGAATGTACAAAAAATCGTCCATCACTGTTGCCGAAATTTTCATAGAAAAGTCTAGAGAGAATCCGTCTGTTCTGTTCGACCTGTAGGGTTTATCGTTTTATCGAAATGCATTTTGTCGGCATGTACGATCGGAAAAACATGATAATCCTTAAAGGAAGCGATTACGATAAGGAATTTTCGCATCGGGGGAGAACCTGCGCCACACGGAGCAATTACTTGGCTGCCAAGGAAGCAATGTGTGGCGCTTCCACGGCGAAAGGTGCTGTGGTTGCTGAGCAGGACCTCCGCAGCACTCCGCCCCAGCAGCGTTACGCCCACAAGTTTACTTGTTGATTTGGACGAGCTGCGTGACCAGCAGCGGCGCAAATGGAGTATCTCGATTAAAGCGTACTTTGGCATGGTTCCATCAAATTCGTTGCGGTGAACTCGTTCATACGTCCTCTTTCTTAGCTGTTACCTGTTCACGAGTTGAATACTCCGGCCAGAAAGAGGTCCCGTTTTGTGTTTTTTCGACGTATTTTTTCTGCTTTTTTTCTCTGCTGGGGTACCATTGAACACCACCACGTCACACTGAACCATTCTTTGAATTTATCGTAAACCGCTACCTTTAATCAATTAAATTACCACTGATCAACCTCTATTAACCTAAGAACTCCACTCGTTGTCTTTCACTCTACCATGAACCTGGAAAAGAACAGTGGGCTCCACAGTGAAGATCTAATATATAATACTATTTGAAATCCAAGTCTTGCCATGAGTTGGAAATCCCTGAAAAAATTCTTAAGAGCTTATGACATCTTATCGCTTCACAACCCATTTGAGATAAGCCCGGCTTACCTTCCATTCAAACCGCTCGGTCCGCCATTACTCCACTCCCAAGCATGATCAGATATGTACGACCCGTAGCTAAGATTTCGTGGTGAGCTGCGGACTATTTGTAAAATATAGAGCGTAGCGTAAAGTGCTGTGATTACGAACATGCGATAGTGTGACTTCACTGGCAACATTTTTTGCGACGGTTTTTATCTTGGAAATGACGCAATGGCTTTTTTTTTATGCACGATTAAGGCAATCTAAGTGAGAGCTCGGCTGCCGTAGATCTTTTTAAATGGATTGATTAAATTTCTAAAGCAGTATTTCCGCCTTAACAGTCGGTTTTCTTTTTGTTTGTCCATATCACATCTGTATGAACGTGGCCACCTGTTTAGGAGACGGCCATGAAGAATCAGTCTTCAAGTCAAGATCCTCACCGGGAAATCTCCCGTTCAAAGCGAAACACCAATCATCAAGTGTCGTTTCCTCTGAATTTAGGCGGGTGCCTACAAATTATCTTATGGAAGAACAGTGAATGGTTTGTGCTGCTCATGAGCAGAAATCACGAGAATTTCCTTGGAACTCATGGAAACAGTGCGTGACGCATTCAGAAATTTGTAGAAATCTGTACAGAGTATTTTTTATCCAGTCACAAGCTATAATACCGACGGCCTATTAAGCGGTCAGAGAAATATCCTGCGGCTAGATTGCGAGCAGATCTTAGCAGACCCGATTGAGAGATACCATCAGCGACACCGCAGGGTAGGAAAACAGACATATTCATCACCCCAGCATTTTTTTACGATTGAACAGCACAGTATCAAATGGGATGCGCCAATCACTGCTGGTCAAAGGCTACAAAAGGCTAAGACTCTGAAAAAAAAAGGAATGACTACTGTTTTTGGTCCCATTCGCCATGCTATTGGACCGAGCTGATCACGATACGAATCTTCGCACATCTCCAGCACCTTTTTCTTTTTAGACACCGAGGCCTAGCAGAAACGCCGGTGTGGGATGGCTCCCAACATTGCCTGTTGGAAGCGAAAATGCAGATCGAGCCTCACTAATGTACATACAGGAGGCTTCGAATCATAAACGTCTACTGGCAGCTTACAGCGGGCATGAGATCGAAAACCAGTTGCAGTGCGATGTGCGCTACCTGTTATACTTAAAGGCAAACCCCGCGATTAAACTGGTGCTACGAGCGCCTCGTAGTGATAGCTTAGCTGCGGAACGACCTGAAAGTGGAAAGGAAAGCAAGAGAAGTCTTTGAGAACGCTGAAACTATGTAAGGCCTTAACCTTCAGTAAGGTCGGATGTGGTACGATGGCGAGACAGGGGTCAAAGAAGACAAAATACGCGAGAGAGCACGTCGTTTGAGAGAGCACGCTGATCTCACCACCTCTCGCGGTGGGTGGGAAGCGTTGGAATCGGGGTCGATGGTTGCAGGCCCGTAAGGATTAGCGCCCTAACCGCGCAATTTTGCGACGAAGCTGGAGTGATCTAGGTAGGTACGGACCTTACAATTTTCCCGTGGATATCCTCCTATAGTTGGCTCCTTGCTTGTACGCAATTAATCATCCAAATTTGGGATAAGGTCGTTCCCCCCCCCAAAACTGAAAGAGATCAAGTACGATAGTGGTTATTTATTTGTAACACAATATATTCGCATAGTAAGGCATTAAAAAGCTAAAATCCGCAACAGCTTATCACAGCGATACACAAATGGATTGCACGATACATAACAACGTATTTAAAGGTAAAAGAGAGGAAGCCCCGCAATGGTCAGGGATAACGGATCCCATTACCGGGTGTTACCAGATGCTAGTATCGAAAACAAAGAGACATAGCGATATTGATTATGCATGAGTTACTATGCAAGTGAATTCATAAAGTGGACTAGAATTATGTCCTATCTCTAAATGGAAAGCTAACGCGTAAACGAGTGAAAGAATGTCATGTTTTTACCTAGAATTCTGCCGAGAACCAGTATCTGAAGCTCAAGCAATGTGAAGCAGTAGAATGGGGAATAATGGTTATCAAAGAGACGTGGGCTTGTGCCCCTTACAGCTACCCTCTTCAATTTTCTTGGCAGGCAGTATTCCAATTGGATTCTCCTAAACGGGGGCAACAGGATGAGTTATACGAATATAAAAGGAAGTGGACACAACTCACTTCACTTGAAAAAGCCCACCTGAGCCATTCGAGCCCTTTCAGCTTCAAGTTCGGCGTTTTGGGCACGAAGACCTGGAATGGATTAGACATATGACAAATATACTAAATTAAGATACTATACTGTGGAACGACTGCACACAACTTTATGATCATAAAGATCCGATAGCTGTGAAAAAGCAGCTCTCGCCATATGATTGCGTTAAAATGTGAAAGTGAATGCAATGGCGAGCATTGGAAAATAAACTATGGTGGACTTCTTTCTTTGCATTCTACGACAGAACGGTAATGGGCAACTCACGCAGTAATACAGTCAAAGCTGGGACCAAAAAGTGCAATAAGTTTTTTATCGGCGCTATCGTAAGATACGGGCATTGTGGTGGCAGTGCACGATGAACGCCGTAAAACATCCATTTTTTGAAATGAAACTAAATCGCAGACGAAAGAGAACAGATTTCAAGGTGCGTAACAAATTTCATTTTACCCGAAGCTCCTGCTCCCTGCTAGGCTTAGTTCCAAAGCATAAACTGTATCTTGCAACAGCGAATTTTTTGCGCTGCATTGGCCACGCTGACAGTAAATGCCAGGCTTGGTGAGTGGCACGCTGTTAGACAGTCGAAAATGCCAGCATAGAAACGTTGGTGATGATGCATCAACGCATTGTCTTAAAGGTTGTTTTCCAAGGTCCTGTGAAAATAGGAATAGCAGGAAATTGAGAAGCTAGACATTACTACGACATCGCGACAAAAAACGATAAATTTGGCCCAGATGAAAGAAAATAGGCGGCCTCGCTCTATGAAATTGTGTTATACGAAACACAAATCCTAGCAGATACACTCTAATTTACGAAATACAAAACGTTATATTGATCAAAGGTTATGTAGATTCTTTAAAAGCACGAAGAAGTAAAGGCAGAAAACAACCCAAAATACCTTCACATCTTCGAGCCCAAGCGTTCCACTCCTTTCCCAGCTGTTGCATCTGCTTCATCTCCAAGAAGGTCAGCTATTTGAGTATCTGGAAGAAAAAAACTAACATTTTCCCGATCAAAACATTACTAGCAGTTACGAAATGTGAATGATCTATAATTATATCTACCCACCAAACTCAGCAATATACCGTTCTATATCGTTCGCGTCCAAGTATCGCCCTTCTGTTTGGGTTTCTGCTGTACTGCTCCTTCTAGGAATAGGAGCAGGAGGAGAAACTCGTTGCGGAACGGGCGGAGGTGGCGCAGTAGGAATCGAGCCTTAACATTCACATAATGATTGTTCCTGACTGCTCGGGCCAGACGGACAATGCTTACCAGAAATGGTTAAACCGGACGAGTGATCGGCAGTCACAGTTGTTGAATCAGATGGACGGCGATCTCCATACGACAGTGGCATCCTTTGAGAAATGGTAATTCAAAATGTAAACGACTGCGTGGCAAATATAGTGCAACAGCGAAAAGCTCACCCAGTCTGCGCGAGCTGAATGTTCTTCATCATGTCCAAGCTAGCACTTCGAGTGTGCCCTCTTAGTTGAGGACGGGGAGGAGGCTGTGGAGGTGGCCCACATGGAGATTTTAGAGCTAACAACGGAATAGCTGCAAGGAAAAATAATTTTATATGAGTGAAAATATAACCAAAGAACACTAAGTAGAAAGCATACTTTGCTTCACTGCTGTAGGGCGACTATCAACCAACAATGGAGGAGTATCGGAGAATTCAGCAAGGTGAGTGTCCTTAAAAAAAACCTCAATAAAAATACAAAGAGAAAAAGCGAGCGAAGCGCTACCTTTTGGCCTGAACTCTGCCGAATTTGGAAGAGTTACGCCGTTATCGAATTGATCCCACGAACCAGAAGAGGGAGGACCTGGTAAATAATGGCCAAATCTCAATGAAGAGAACTTGAAGAATTCAGCGAAAGCTCATGGAAATTCATAAACATAGAAACACCAAAAATGAAAATGCATTCTTATGAAAATCTAGTAGAATATTGTGGAGTGTTTCGAAAAAATCTTAGACAAGCGGCACAGTGGACAAGCGATGGACGGGCATGCGTCGCTCCGGCACTGGTTCATCGCGATGCAGTCTCAGTCTGACCGACATCTTACCAGGAAATGGTCGTTGTAAAAGCCGCACAACTTGGCACAAGTATTACATACCTTTCAAAGAACTAATTGAAAAAAATTCAGCCGTGCACTTAAAGGCAAGATTCGGGATAAAATAGGTGTCTAAAAGCGTTCAGTCATGATACTAGAGGTGGGAGGTGGTCTATAAAAGAGAAAGAAAGCAAACGAAATCACAGATTACGCCCCGTACAGAAACCTCCCCTATTTCAGCAACATTCCACCTTGGGATAGAGAAAAGGCGCGTTGGACGAGTTTCGCGAGCCTGACTCTAGTTGCTCCAGTGCCATTGACACAGGATCGCGGTGGGACCGCTGCCTCAAATGCGCCCGCGCTTTTCAAGCAGCGCCACGTGGCAACGGACAGCGGAGGGTGGGGCTTGCGGACGAAGGTGTGAGTTGCAGGTCGGACGAGCTGCTTGTGCCTTTGTCGCGCACTTTCAAGCGGCAAAAGGGGTGCGACAACAACACTTGTCCGCCTGCCTACTACCCCCGGGATGGAGAGGCAAGCGCGCCTAATCGTGGAGCGTGCCTTTAACAAAAGGTCATCGAAAATTCACTAGACAAGACCCTTAATAAAAGACATTTTAGCAAGTTTATCCTTTTCTTCCTCAGATAACTTCAAAATGTACTTTACATCTTTCCATGTTTTTTGTAAGCTGGAATTTCTGAAACTTGCAAGAACTCACCGCGTAAAACGGTACCGGATGCGCCAGGGCTATACTGCACCTGAGGACAGACCTGTGGAGGAGCATATGGAGGTCGAATACAAGCAGGTAAACATGTAGGAATCGGTACGTGTCCCTGAAGACATGAGAATATTGAAACCTGGGTACATGATGATAAAAAGGGACATGGAGAGGCTGATAACCTCCTAGGAATTTCGGACCACGCCTCATGGTTAAATGGACGGAAAGATTACCTTTACTCTTAAAACAATGAGATGCATCGCGGTTGAAAACTCATTGATATCCAGCCAACCATCTTCGTTAACATCGGAAAGACTCCAGATCTCCTATGCATGATAGTAGTTTCCTTTCACTTGTGTATTCTAACCTTAATTTTCAGTATGGAGGGCAAGTATAAATACACTCAATATTCAGTATGTATTGCAAGCTCACGGTAAGGCATTGCTAAAATTAATTACAACTGACAGAGTTCTATAGAAACTACTTAGTAGGCCGATGTCAGACTTTGCGAATCGCGCGATTCGCTAGCGTCTGCGGTCGCGTCGCGGCCAGTGAATCACTCAATTGGCTGGTACCGCAACGCGACCGCGGACGCTAGCGAATCGCGCGAATCGCTAGTAGCGAATCGCGCGATTCGCAAGTCTGACAACTGGCCAGAAGTTGGTTTTCAAAAACGACAAATGAGACGCATTGCCAGCATTTGATCCTACTTTCAGAAGCTGAAGCCCAAAATCGGGAGATGTTTCTCGATATTTGTTGGAATCATTGCGCCTCATAAAAAAAAAACACATATAGAATGGAAATCAAAAGATACCTGGATAGAGATTCATTATCGAGACCACTACGCTTGAAGAAATCGACTACTCGAGGATCTCCACCATTTAGGACACCTTCAAGATTAGTAGTTCCCTGAAAACTCGGCTTATCTACATTCAAACAACTTGATAGTCTTTATGAAAACAAAGGAGCAGTAACCCACTTGAGTATTTTTCAACAAATGTCGAAAGA